TATTGATTCCCTTTTTATTATATTGATTTTTTTAAATAAAAAATAAAGCAAAGATCAAAGTTATTTGCAAGCGAGAATTTGAAATCATTTTATTGCAAACTCAAAGTTTATCGATAAAGCCATTTAATAGTTAAAGGCAGTTTAGTTTTATAAAGAACACTTTAAAACGTTTTGTGAATTGTTTGTGATTGAATTTTACCTTAAAATGAAGCTTGTATTACGTATAATTACATACCTAACATAAATATGTTGGGAAATTGATAATTTTGTAATTAAAAGTGATATTTTTAGGCGATTTTCATTTGTAAGAATATTCCTAAAAATTATCGTGTTACCATGACAACTACTTTAGATACTTCATGTTCGGAAAATACAACGGTTTTGTCACCAAGGCGAGGGTTTCTGCATGCATGTATTTTCTAGTCGTATTAGTAATGGCAACAGTAGCAGTGTTAAAAATGATCAGGAAATTGGGGATGATGGTGATAATGAAAGTGATGATGATGGTATTGACGATGATGATCATGGTGTTAATAATAGTGATAGTGATGGTGGTTATGGTGATGATGGTGATAATGATGATGGTGGTGTTGATGGTGGTAGTGTAAGTGAATGGAGCAAAAGTGGCAATTATGATGATGGCGATGTTAATATTCGTAGTATGTCAGAACTTGCTGATGCTGTTCAAAATAATGATGTGATAGAAATTGATGAAGGTGTCAGTACATTAGAAAGAAATGACCTACAGAAAAGAAAATCATGTACTGACAGATGCGATACATGTATTTGTCTCCTATAACCCCATTACATTCTTTTTCATACAGATAAAAATACTTGATCTTTTCCCTGTGATTGCCGTTTAATTGATATGTAGCTGCTAAGGCAAGCCGTACACATTACAATAGTAACAAAATACTGATTCTTCTTCACATTATTCTATACTTTTTGTTTTTACTTTAGTGTGATACAATGAATAACGATTCATCCAACATGTTAGCATTATTAAAAAGTCTCAGCATGCAGTCAGATTGGGAATAATTCCTGAACATTTGCAACATTATGAAACCACATTTGAAGCCCCTTCCTGTTTTTCACAATGATTTATCACCAAAGACCTTGTCCACAAAAGGTTAGGAATATAATTTATTACATTTTTGCTGACAATGTTAATTAACTGATGTCACTAGATTTACTTTCTTGCATCTTTTTATGTTTCACATCAATGCAATCCTCATTTACTGAATATAGGATGAGGTTACCTGTACATGTCATTCCTTACGTAGTTTCTTAATTAAAATAATAATTCATTCAGTGTTTGTGCCACGATTCTAATGATTCTAACAAATCTTGTAGGCAAGATTAGGTGGTGTTCATCAATTTATTTCACGTTGATATTAAGTGTATTAAATTGTTTTTTTTCTTTTTCTGTAGTTTACGACGCCAAGTTCCGAAAGAAATTCTCAATCAGCACTTGGAGCCAGGAAAAGTGAAAGCTGATGGAAATTGTCTTTTCCATGCTGTTGTCATGGCAATGACTTTGGGAGATTGTGTGTTTACAATCGTGATACTTTGTTGTTCTTGTTCACGGAATGTTAATTGTTAAGAGGCAATTTTTTCAATGTTGCGTATTTGCGATAAAAAGTGTTCAAAACCAAAAATCTTTTTGGCATACATCTCAAAATTACTTTGTTTTAGCTTTATTCTCTAGCTTATACAGTTAGCTACCTATTTAAATACATTTGCCTGTTGAGAAACATAAAATAATATAGTAAAAAATTGTCAATTAAAATGCAATTATCAATGATGCTTTAAAAGTGATGCCACAATTTACAGCAATGTAAACAAAACATACTGAATTTCAGACATCATTTTCTATTTTGCATACCATCTAAAATCTCTTCATTTTAGCATTATTTTACAGACTAATCTAATCTGAATATAATCATAACCAATTGGTGGAAAAGCTAGTTTTGAGCGTGTGTTACATAACATACATTTATCTCAACTTGCCAGACGTTTTCATTGCAAACTAATCCAATCAACTAACCAGTCAAATTGCTGATATCATTTTCATGGTGATATGTGTGAAAGATTTCGAAAAACTGTACTAAGATCTCGATTATGTATAGGGCTTCTATTTTTTAAAGTTTTATGCATGCATGAGCTTGTGATTTCTTTAAAAAATAAAATATCTTTTCAGGTATTTTACAAGTAGCTTGGCTTGCAGACTGCATTGAAACCTTCCCTTCTCCAATACCACCACACAAAGAATGACAAAAACTCAACTGCAAGCACAAGTAATCAATACAACTGCCAAGCATAGGATTATTCACTTGAAGCAGATGAACAGCAAAACAAGATAACAATAGCAAATAATCTGACAGACATCTGAACACTGGGAACCCAGATGCACGAATACTTTTATAATATCACAACTATGGTTATAGACTTTCGCTAACTACTAAACTTTTAATAAGATTGCTTTTGGATATAATTTTTTGAAATAGACACATACATACTTTTTGTAACATATCACTATTATAAAGAATAATAATATCACTATCACCATAGTGATACACTATTTGAAAACCATTGGGAAAGTACTATATCAATCATTTAATATTTAGATTTCCCCATTGGTTTACTTTATATACTTCCACAATTATCAGTTCATTTACAACGAACTACCAATAAATACTTTGCTTTGCATGGTTACTAACCACTTACTTTTGGCAAAACCATTAGGCAAGAATATATTAAGGTTTAAATAAAAATTTATCACATATATTACAATAATGGATTACCTTAACCACTTACTGATTAGCTACATGGGTATCACTGTATATACTATTGTATTCTACATATTATTCAATTTCATTCCGGGTTTTCACATATTTAATAAACAATTTGTAAACAATTTGTTGTCTTTTTTAACTCTTTGTGAATCTGTGTCTCTAACCCACATGGATGTTTTCAACACTGTATACACAACATTGTACTATGTTAGCTACTGTGGGGAGTCCATCACCCAGGACTGTTGGACATCACAGCTATATACACATCCGATCCCTAAACCATTTTGGAATCAACACTCAAGTCCTTTATCTAGGTTGATTTACACCCCCCCCCACTAAACCCTTTTGCCCTCCCCCCCAATCCCCCCTCCCCCCCACTCCCAGAGTCCTCAACTGTTTTTTCCCCTCAAATCCCTAGAAACATCACCACTCAAAGCGATAACTTCCTCCTTATAACACCTTTTCAAAAAAACACTTTCAATAACACTTTCAACATAGTAAAGTAACAAGCTCACAAAAACTATTATTACATGAAGTATACACATAGAACTGAATATATCCATAATTGCCCAGATGATCCAATAGAACCCCTATAATCCACAAAACATCCTTTTTCAACCTAAACACACACGTGCACATCTCACCAACTGTGCATGACCAAACATGCAATTTATACACTTGCAAGACAAATTCTCGCCACTTTCTGTTTACTGCTGTAATGAAAGACAAGCTACATTTACTGACAGTTTATGGAGCTTTTATCGCAATCCTCCTAAACCAAAAACTGATAGTATCATCATGGCACAACGTGTTGGATTTACCAAACTCAACAACGAATGAAGACAATTTACATTTTACGTTATACAATAGTCATATACACATATTGCTAATTTTCATGTTTTTTCACTTTATTCCAAATCGGCCTCTATATTCTGTCTTTCTCACACAATTGCCAACCCCAATCCCTGCTGACAAGTCCACTGAAGGACAAAACACCGCATACAGGGATACTGAATTTTACACACATGACTATCTCCTCTCACTTTATATATTTTACATGCTTCCATACAAGCTTTTTAAGTACAGCGAGATCGTACTCCTTGAGTATGATCAAAAAAAATTTTTACACCACATGGTAACATTTTATTGATACAATTTCACACACGTTTCTCCAATTTTATGTTCCAAAGTTCTACACTTACACTTATATTTCTTAGATCACATTTATACATATACAAGTGGTTTTATATGTTTTATTTTTTATTCTCAGGCTTATCAAATACAACATTTTTCACAAGCATACATTGTGTCAACAACATGAGGCCACCACACCATCATATTTCACACATCAGTTTTGTTCATTAGAAGTCTAATGATCAAAACTGATGAATTGCAAACACTCGTTGCTGATGTTGACCTTATTGCAATAACCGAAACTTGGCTGAGGTTGAATGTTTTGAACAGTGATGAGATCTTGCCAGGTAATGATTTTTCCAGCCTTAGACGTGATAGGGAAAGCAGAACAGGAGGCAGGGTAATGCTAGCTGTTAGAAATACAATCCCAACTATCTGTCGAAGAGATCTTGAATGCAATACCGAACTTTTAATATCTGAAATCCACTCTCAGTCGAAGAGAAAAATTCTTATTGTTATGCTGTATAGACCACCAAATGCGGAATTTGCATACATTAGGGATTTAAAAAAATCTATTTCTTTAGCTATGAAAGCTAAAATCGATCAGATAATTATTTGTGAGGATTTTAATTTTCCTCACATTGACTGGACAACAGGAGTAGATACAGTAGGAGATGCTTCCCACAATTATTTCACCAAATTGGTTAAAGATAACTATCTCTGGCAGCTGGTTAACTTTCCAACCAGAAATAATATGCTTGACCTGTTGCTTACAAACATCCCTTGAAAGATCTGTAATGTTCACGGTTTTGATGATATCCTAAAGAGCGATCTCATAAAGTCATAAGTTTTGCTATCAATTTAAGAGTTGAGAAAAAACCACCTAACTTTAATAAGGCCAACTGGCAAGGCCTTAAGTAGCTTCTGTCGAAAGTCACTTGGGAAGCAGGCTTACTTACTAATGATGTTGACACATCCCTTTCAAATTGGTGTGACATGTTTCTTGCGGTTGTGGACAATTCCATCCCTAAATGCACCTCAAGAAATGTAAACAGGCAACCCTGGGTCGATAAAGAACTATTAACGCTTATTAAGAAAAAGAATATGCAAAGAAAGAAAGTTTTAAAACAGGTTCTCAAAATGACTTGGATAAGTTTAAATATCTGCGTTGTGATAGCACAGAAAAAGAAAGATCATTCATACAAAATGAAAGTAGCACTTGGTGAAAATCCTAAGCGATTTTGGTCATTGTAATATCAATTACCAAACAGAAAAGTGCCATTAATTTTTTACAAAACGATTAATCTTTCATTACAAATAGCTACACCAAAGCTAACTTATTGAACAAGTTTTTCCATTCTGTCTTTGCAGCTGAAAACAAATTAAATCCTCTCCACGCTTCTAGATCATGTATACCTCCAAACTATTTAAATAATATTCAACTATCAACATGTGAAGTAGCTAGTGTTTTCAAACGACTAGATCCAAACAAGGCTAGCGGCTGTGATGGTATCCCTAATCGACTGCTAAAAAATATGGCCAATGAAATTGAGCTGTCGTTTTGTTCTGCATTCAATTAAAACTAGAAGAATACCTTAGTTCTATAAAGAACCCGTCACATAGAAGATTACTAAGTAAATTTCGAACCAGTTCCCATAAACTACACATTGAATCCGGACGATACAACAAAACTCCCCGTGAACAACGTTTATGCGAGTACTGCAACACCAATGAAATAGAAGATGAATATCATTTCACACTTTCATGTAAATATTATGAACAACAAAGAAATGATTTAACAAATACTCTACAAAATGACTTTAATGTACCGA